GAAGGGGAGGAAGGGGAGGAAGGGGAGGAAGGGGAGGAAGGGGAGGAAGTTGATACTAAACAAGGGGAAGATGGTGAAGATTGCAAAGATCTGGAAGAACAGAGAGATAGTGAAGACCAAGAAGCGAATATGAAGCATAAAGTAGAGGGACGAAAGATGGGGATAGGAGGAAATGAGGCACAATTAGGGAACAACCTTGAGTTCCCCTCTAGTACCACCGAAGCTATATCCAGGGATACCAACTATCGTGGTTCAGTGATGGAACATGCTATTCCTGCCGGCACTCGAGGTCTCATTTTGATTTCAAGTGAAGAAAAAATGACGAAGGTTGGGCGAATAAGCACTAAAGAATTAATGGATGAAAAGGAGGATCATATTGTGGAAAAGAGTCAGGGGGTGGAATTAGGAATCAGGCTTCAGGTGGATCCAGTAGTTGGCTGGGAATTCGATGATGATGATGGCGACGGTAACGATGATATGGAAGATGGTGAAGATGATGGAGATGCTGCAGACAATTTTATTCCAAGTTCGAATTCTGCACGTTTGGACCTGGAAGACGTTCAGAATGGCGCCAATAGTTTGCAAGAAAGTCTGGGAGACGATTCGTATGTACATGCACCAGCTTCCTCTCCAGCTCGGCCTCCGCTAGCTGTTTTGCTACACCCTGTAGTTACAATTGTTTCCAACGGCCTTCTGCATCGACTCAACAGCATTTTTGAGATTTGGCGAGACGTGCTCTTTGAGGCGAGGCTAGCTCGTGAGCAACTTCATCTTCGGCTCAACTGCCTCCAACTGGCCGCGGATTCGGCCTATCTGCAGATTTGGATACAAGACAAGTAGGTTATTCACATTATTACGAATTAAACTTCCACATCTTTTCCAATAGGGACCATTATCAGAATTCGGCTTTCCTATACTGGACTTATTAGTGTATTCTATTTTTTACCATTTGCCTCACCATCTCCTATCTCATAATAATCGCGTTGAACTTTCAGCGCAATGTAGGTAACAAGAATTCCCATAAATCTCACATAACGTTCCTCTTTGGTTGGGGATCCAAAAAAT